AAACTGGAATTTGGATATGTCAAATAGACACTTTATTAAGCATCAGCACATGCACTGAAATTAGAATGTTAACAGCGAAGACTAACATGACCCCTGTGCAAAGATGGCATTCAAATCCATGAAGCATTCCACTTAAAAACAGCCACATTAAAAACAAGGGGCAGGGGGTGGGGGGTGGGGGCTGGAGAGATTGCTCAGTGGTTAAGAGCACTGACTGTTCTTACAGAGGACCTGGATTCAAAGGTGAGTACCACATGGCAGCCAACAACCATCTGTAGCTCCAGTTCCAGGGGATCTGGTGCACTCTTTTTTGCGTGACATGGGTGCACTTATTAAACACATGCAGGCAATACACTCATACACAATTTTTATTACAAATAAAAACAAAATACAGAAAATGTTTAAAAACAAAATTAGAATTTTGGTTATAGCCTTTAAAAAGTTCGGTAGGAAAAAAAAAAAGATCACCTTTAATCCCAGTCCTTTGAGGCAGAGGCAGACTGATGTCTGTGAAGATTGAGGCCAACTTGGTCTACATAACAAATTCCAGGCCATCTGGGGCTGCAGAGAGACTCCGTCTCAACAACAACAAAAAGATCTAACGACCAAAATAATATGGAGGCTTAAGATTAAAGGCTCATGAACAACTGTCCCTGATTTGAAACTCGAAATGCAAAGTGCTCCAGAATGCTGTTAAGAATGGCTTCGATTCTCAGAAAGTTTCAGATTTTGGAGCCCCTCATGCACCTCCTCCTGTTCAGAAGTGATGGGAATTTGTTTGGGTCCCTTTGCTTGGGGCCATGACGTTAGTGACTGGGAAAACTGACTTCTGAGAAGCCCTGTGGGACTTTGGTACGAGTCAGCTGTCTAGAAGCATCTTTTATGGATGGGACCAAGGGAATAGATATCAGCTGTGTGTGGAGGGAGGGTTGTTGGACACCTGCAGGAGGGAGGGTTGTTGGACAGCCTATGCTGATGCCCGGGCATCCTGCTTCTCAGAAATATGAACAGAGAGACTTGGGTGGCCAGGGCTTTTGCTGTGTAGGAAATTTTGGGGACCCCAGGGATGGGTGGCCCTTCTACACCTTTTGTGTGGAGACGATCCAGTGTAAAGGGGATGAAACGGCCTGAGCAGCACAGGGGAGCTTCATGGAGATCCACCCCCAAGTCCACCAGGAAGGTGACCTCGGTGTGCACTGATAGAGTTGTGGAGGGCTGGCAAGTACTCCTAAGGGAATGAAGGTATATGCAGGGCTGGCGTGGGCTCTGGCTGAGTGGTGGCACCTTGACCAGAGGTTAGACTGGCCAGGGTCCTGGATAGAGGTGAGGTTCTCAAGCATCCAGCTCATATTGTTGGGATATCCTGGCCACTCTCCTGTGTTGGAGCTCAGATGCAAGGTCTGTGCCATGTGGATTTGGGAGCCAGAACATACACTGCGGGTGGTTGACACTGCATGTGTGTGTGTGTACACATGCACTAGTTCCCATGGACACATTCGCACTAGGCGAAGGAGTAAAGTAAGACGAGAACTTGGTACCAGGAATTATATTCTCTGGCTGCAGCTGTGGGAGCCAAGTGCCACCAGGCAGGTGGTAGCAAAAGCAAAAGCTGCTGTCTGCGTTCTGTGCCCTGGAAGTTCGGATTCCAGTGGTCATGGGGGTGGTTTCCCCTGCAGCTGTGGCAGGGACTTGCTCCCCCCGCCCCCAGTAATTGCTGGTGCTTAGCTGGAATCTCTGCCTTTGGTTTCTGTGGGTCCCGCCCTGCTTCTCCCTCTTTCTTCTGTGTATGTCTGTGTCCGTATCCCCAGGTTGGGCCAGGCTCACCTCACTCAAGTGCTCAAGTGTATTAGTTACTTTTCTGTTGCTGTGATAAAATACCAGGAACAGGGAAACTCATAGAAGGGTTTTTTGGGCTCATGGTTCCAGAGGGATAAGAGTCCACGATGGCATGGCAAGAGGCAGCTGAGCAGAGAGCTGAGTACTCACGTCTTCATGACACTCCCAGGAAGCAAAAGGAGCAAGCTGGACACGGGCAAGGCTGTGAACTCTGAAAGCTGCCCCCAGGGACATGCTTCCTCCAGTGAGGCTGCACCCCTTAAAGGCTCCGTGACCTCCCCCAGCAGTGCCGTCAACTGGGGACCAATGCCAGGTGTTACAGTCCTTGAGCCTGTGGTGACACTTTTTGTTCAAGCACTAACCAAGTATGGCCTCATCTGGCCAGTTAATCTACAAATTACACCTGCGATTGCGGAGTTGAGACTACCAGGTATGAGCTATCATAACACAGTTCAGCCCAAGGCGTGAGTGGAGGGGGTGTTGTGGGACAATGACACTGCTCTTTGGGTCAGTAGGATCCAAAAGTTGATGACTTGTGCTTCCGATTTTGAGGGTGCTTGCTGAATGGGGAGGCTCCCACTGAGCTCTCTGGAGCACCCAGGACAGTGCTCCCTGAGTAGGGCTGTGGAGCTCTGCCCTCACTCTCCTTGCAGAACTCTGATTTCCTCAGTTCTAACTGCCGGTCAGTGTCCTGAGGGTAGGACATAGTGTACCCCCAGGAGGAACCCCACATCCCAAGTAAACCTAGGTGAGATGGCTCAGATGTTAAGAACACTGGTGGCTCTTGAAAAGAACCTGGGTTTGGTTCCCACATCGCTGCTAACAACCATCCATAACTCTAGTTCCAGGGAATCCGACACCTTCTTCTGGCCTTTGAGGGCATTGTACACACATGGTGCTTTTACACACATGCCAGCAAAACACTCATACACATAAAATAAAAATAAAATTTAAATAAACAACAAAAAAGGCCTTGGGCCTGTCTGTTAGACCCCGTGACACATGAGGATGGTTTCTTGGACATCTGGGCTCTTTCTTTACTGCGATGTCATTAAAGTTACAACTTGGCAGTGCCATGGGAAAGAGTCTTAAACTTCTGCCCAAATCCTGGCTGCTTTCCCTGGATCCTGAAAAGTGTGATTACCCATCTCTAGGACCAGGGTGGGGGAGAAGGGATTTTCCAAAGCAGAGTCAACAAAGATTACTTTGCAAACATTGTTTTTCCTGGGAAGGTTGACTTTGTCCATATCTTCAAGAAACAGGAGGTTTCCTGTATCTTATTTAAAAAGAAAAAAGTAAAAATGGGGAAACAAACAGAGCTGCCTGCCTCCACGTGTGCATTTTCCCTGTGGGTAAGTTAGTTGACTGGATATGAGGTGTGTCTGATGAGCCTCATCTGAAATTGTAAGGACGGGTAGCGCTGGGCACTCTTTGCTTCTTTCCCACCAGGATGCCACTTGTCGCCATTTTCCTGCTGGGGTCACTGAGGTAGAGGGAGTCTCTGGACATGGCCATCTTTCAGCTGTCACCTTGGGGGATGTTTGTTGTGTGTCAGGTGTGACAGCAGCCCTTCTGGGAAGGGATTTCATCCTTTTTCTCGCTGAAGAATTTGTGATTTGGGAACCCGAAGTCACTTTGAGTTCCTCCTGAGGCTGGGATGTGCTCCTGTAGAAAGTGAGCTTGTGTAGGGAGCAGCAGCCTCGAGAACCCTGCTGTGCATCCCCCACCCCCAGGGCATCTCCACCTGCCACTTTTGTGAAGAGCTGTCTTTGTATGTGCTCAGCCTTGATTTATGGGGAGAGGGGATCCCAACACAAGTGTGTCTGCAGTCTTGAAATGTTAGAATCTTTGTGTTCTGTTATTGAGTAGCCTGAACACTCGTCAAGGCAGGCAGGACTCCATCTCCTGTCAGACTAGTTGTGTGTCTGTGTGCGTGACTGTGTGTGCTTGCTCACCTCTGTGTGTGCACGCTTGCATCTGTTTGTACATGTGTATGACTGTGTGCTTGCATCTGTGTGTATGTGCATGACTTGTGTGTGCTTGCTCATCTGTGTATATGTGTGTGTGTGTGTGTGTGTGCGTGCATGTGCGCACGAATGCCTGTGAGCTTGCATCTCTGTGGGCTTCTATAGGAAGCGGGACCAGTCCACTTTGGTCTTAGATGGTAACCACTAGACATTTCCTTGGGTTGGGGTGGGGAATGATTATTCATGTTCTTGGGTGATGAGAGACTTGGACCTGAGATTCTGGGGAGAAGGATCTGGCACAGGGCAGGACAGCAGATGTGGCTCTGGGAGGTTCTAGCAATGTTGTTTAGAGAAGTTTCTGGCTTTGTTGGGGTTTGTATGAGGCACAAAGGACCTAGAAAGAGAGCCAGGAACGGATTTGGAGCCTTGACTCTCAGACGTCAGTTTGGTTTCGGAGGTGGCTTGTCCCTGCTGTGCAGATCTCCTGGCCCGCTGAGTGCTGCAGGCAGCTGTGTGCCCCTCCTGCCTGGGTGTGTCTAGGGGCCACCCTTGGGGCCTTCCCCGGCCACACTCTGACTTCCCATTCCAGCAGGGCCCCAGGTGGTTTCTCGCTAACCCAGTGTGATCTCTAACACCCCCCTGTGTGCCGGCTGCACCTCTGTCCATGTGCAGATCCATCGGTAGCTTTTGTCTAACCGTGTGTGGTAGTCAGGCATCCTTCCCTACCTGTGAGTCCGGAGACGCCACCCTCACCCTGCTGTGTGTTTTCCTCTCAAGCACTGGGTTTCCCTTGAGGAGAAGAACACAGGTTCTCAGGTGTTGTACACCAGGCCCTGTGAAGCACGGAAATGCATTTGTTTGCCAGTGGGTGAGAATCTATGAATGTATGAATAAAGTCCATATAAATACTCCACGTTCCTCAGTCAGGGCTGCCTGGTGTCTGTCGCACAGGAGGCCATGCCTTTGAATGAGAAAAGAGCATGGGTTCTTAAGACAAATGTTTAGATCGGTGTTCAATTCTAAAAATGCAGTCACTGCGGGAGGCATCTAAAATCTCAGTCCTTCCAACCTTGTCCCCTGGCGGCCGCCTGGCCTAGAGTGCATTTTTCCACAAGAGAAGCCCGTGTCTGTCTCCCTCCAGCCCCCACCTCTGTCACCTCTGTCTTCTTCTGTAACGTGATGTTTTGTGTGTGGCAGGTGGCAGGTTCAAGAAGGAGATCGTGGTGGATGGACAGAGCTATCTGCTGTTGATTAGGGATGAAGGGGGCCCCCCAGAGGCACAGGTGAGTACTGCATACACAACAGAAGCCACCTCTGTGTGCTTTGCCTTTTGAGTTCTGGAAGTGAGTCAAGTGCTTTTAAAACAGGATATTTAGATGAAGTTGGGTCTGTGTGGCTTATTTGTTGTTCATGTATTTTTAAGAAGGAAGAAAAAGCAGGTGATTCATCTGTTCCTTGTCAACTCTTATTTAAAGGGTGGCATCCAGGAATTTCTGTGCCTTTAAAAATTGTTTCTTGTTTCTCCTTGGTTTGATCTCATTAACATCGTAACATTTTCAAATCCACTGGTGGAACTAAGAAGCTGACCCACTTTCTGTTTCTGGTAGTCGACAGAGTGGGCGTCCCCACACACTCACCAGCCTTCTGGGCCCACGTCACTCTCCACTAAACACTGTTGTACAGTGTGCTGTGATTTCCTTGAAAATTCCCTAGAAAGGTGGCAGTTTGCAAACCGAAAGGAGAGTGTGGAAAACCCCTTTCACCCAGCTTACTGGTTTGCTGACATAGTTTTTTAAGTGCACGACAGGCGTGCAGACCTAGTCCTAGCCCATAGCACACATACAGACCACACTAAACACTTCTGTCTTGAGCGTCTCTCATTTAAAAGTAAAGTGTAGGATTAGACAGGAGGCGGTAACTAAGGTAAATGATGCTGAAGACAGGGACTGTTGAAGGGCTGCCCTACACCCTTGGAAGACCTCGAAGAGTTCCAGAAACTGCCGTCAGTTCTCCATGTTCTGCTTACTATAAAACACTACCGACTATGTGATGTGCAGCGTTCAGGAGTATAGCCAGTTAGGCTATGACAGTGCAGTGTCATGCAGAGGGTTTACTAGTTGGTATCACTGACACAGTGTCATTTTCTGTTGCTGTTATAAAATACGCTGACAAAAGCAACTTGAGGGGGAAAGGGTTTATCCCTCCAGTTCAAGACTGCGGTCAGTCGTGCAGGAAAATCAAGGTGGCAGGGCTTGAAGCATCCCTCCCACCACTCCCACAGTCAAGAAGTACAACGCACCTCCGCTCAGCTCCATTCCTGCAGACACGCGTCAGGACCCCAGCCCAAAACGGTGCAGGTCTTCCCACCTCAGCTCGAGGTGGCTTCCCTCAGGCACGTACACAGGCTCGTCCTCCAGGGGATTCTAGGTCCTCCCAAGTTGATGCTCAGCACTGACCATCACATGGTGATGCTAAGAAGGAAGTATCTTGAAGACATGTGGTGGATGGTCCTGAACTTAACACTTCTACTAGCGAGGCTGTCAGGGCCTCAAGGGTAGGAATTCTGAGCTTGATGAGCATGCTCTGTGTTACAGGGAGCCCCCCGAGTCCCCACTGGAGAGGAAACTCTAGCCCAGGGTTGTGGCCACAGAACCGGGGCCCACCATGAAGTGAGCACGGCACACTACGGACTTAAGCCTACCAGGGATGTTACTGGAGACAGCATCTTAGTTAATGCCCTTGTTTGAAGGTACAGCTTAGTACTCATGGAGCCCTGGGCTCAACCCCAGCATAAAAAAAAAAACCCCAAAAAACCAAACCAGTATTTTTGTCTCGGGTGGAAATTTCCTTCAGCTCTCTTTTTCCTAATCTCCCTGGGAATTGCCTCTTCATTAGCTTCCGCTGCGCAGGGTATGTGAGTGTCATTTGATGAATAACGTTTTTCTTCCTTTTAATCACTGTATCAGGGAATTGCATAAGGAAAACAGCAACAAAGGCCTGCGGCAGGCGTGTGCCTCAGAGCACACGTGTTGTGTGCCTGAGCCTGTCACAGTGGCCTTGGCTCTCAGGTCTCGCCCAGGCTGGCAGGACATAGGGTTGGGATGAGGACCCAGGAGGCCTGTCTGGGCCCCCTTGGGGTGTCCATGGCAGTGAGGAAGCCTTTTCACAGTTTCCCTGACGACCATCCTTACTCTAGCCCTTCAGCAGTGCCGTGCCCACATGTGTCCCCTGGTTGAAGTCTCCCCTGCAGGGCATTACGGTGGGGTCTCACACACTCACGTGTGCAGTTTCTTTCTTTGCATCATTATGGATCGTTTTCTAGCTGAGAGTAATGGCATCGCGATAGAAATTGCAAGGGTTTTTTTGTGCTTACTGCTGTCATCTCACGGTTGTGCAGAAACTGCCAATCTATTGCCCTTGTTTTTCCTTCAAAATTGCCATTTTCTAATTAGGGCTCAAAATGTATACAGAGAGAAAATGAGGGGATGGGATAGGGCTAGATTTCCTCTGAACAGAGACTCACATGGGTCCCAACTTTCACGTCAGGAGCTGAGATCTGATCTGGGGATACGAGGCTACTCTCCTACATCGGTGTTCAGGGCAAGGCCTTCCCCTCCCTGCCTCTCAGAAGAGAAGGTGTTTTAGGTTTTCACCTTTTGCTGTGATAAAACACCCCAAGGAGGGTCTGGAGAGATGGCTCAGTAGTGGAGAGATGGCTCAGTGGTTAATAGACTGGCTAGTCTTGCAGAGGACCAGGCTTGGTTCCCAGCACCCACACCTTTAAAACTGTCCATAACTCCAGTTCCAGAGGGATCTGTTGCCCTCTTCTGGTGTCTGGGCATTGCACATGCAGGTGTACTTACATGCAGGCAAAAGTCATACACATAAAATAAAAATTAAAATACCCAGTAGAAACTAAGAGAGAAAGGGTTTGTTAGGTTCACAGTTCCAGGTCACAGCCTGCCAGAGCAGGGAAGCTAAGGGGGCGGGGCCCGGAACCATCTGGTCCCATGACAGCAAGAGGATCCAGGCATCAAAGCCTCAGCGCATTCCACGGTCCAGGACCCAAACCCAGGGAATGATTGTGCCCACACTGGGCAGATTTCCCCGCCTCTCTTAGCATCATCAAAATAATCCCCTAGAGACATGCTCAGAGGCCCATCCCCCAGGTGATTGTAGAGTTTGTCAGGCTGACAGCCCACACCAACCATCACCAAGGGAAAGGAACCCCTGGCAGGGAGAAGAGGAGGCGGTCTTCCAGCCCAGGTCCCAGGGTCCCTGTGCTGCCTCCAGTATCTGCAGGAGCTTGGCCACACAGCTCCCACAGCTGCTGGCCCCCAAAGATCTGCCTCAAGAGACTTGACCCCAAGATCTTTCTTATACTTCTCTCAAATATTCCACACATAAACAGTTTTTGTTATGGGTGAAAATCAGAATCTATTTACACACACACACACACACACACACACACACACACACGCACACACGGCTGCTGAACTGGGGGCCAGGCCATGGACATAAATAATGACCTGGGACAGCGTCTTTTAGAGAAAGCAGACAGCTTTTTGGTTTTGTTTGTTCACATGTGGAGAGAACAAGCTTGATGTCAGTCATGGGATCTGGAAGTTGCTGTGCCAGATGTTGTGAGTGGGGTTCGGTGCATTTGAGAGCTCCACCTCTGCTCGAGGCTCCCAGGGTCGCTGTTGTAAATGAGATGACACAAGGACTCAGTGTAGATTAGTCTGATCTCCTCTCACCTTTCCTAAACATAAATGGGCGTTTCCCAGCAGGGCGCTTGGTGAGTTGAGTGGCAGCTCAGCCTCTGCTGGTCGTGGAACTCTGGGGGCAGAGGCGTCTCCAGTCTCGGGTGCTGGGCAATGAAGGCACCAGGGCATTTCTGAGAAGGCTGTGGGGGCCCAGAGGAGGAGTACCCTCTCAACCTGCAGGTCCATCAAGTCTCCCAAGAGCTTCTGAGGAGACTGTGACACCCCTACCTGTCCCCAGATGGGGAGGAGCCTTCTGTCTGCAGGATGAGATTTCCCTGGGTTAGGGCAGGGGTAGACAGTTAAGGGCACAGAAATCACAGGAGAACAGACAGCATGGCTGTGTTCTGGAGGGTCCTGGTGGAAACAAACAAGGATCCCATTCCTGAGCTGGCTCCCAGCTATGGTGACAGTGTGTAGAGCAGAGGTCAGGTATCAGATGGCAGCTGAGGGGCACCCTGGAGCTCATGAAGGTGATCCTGAGGGGCCTGGTGCCCTCGTCCTATGCACACCTTCAGCTCCCACCCCCTCCCTTCTCCTCTGCAGTTTACCATGTGGGTGGACGCGGTCATCTTTGTCTTCAGCTTGGAGGACGAGATAAGTTTCCAGACTGTCTACCATTACTACAGTCGAATGGCCAACTATCGGAACACCAGCGAGATCCCACTTGTGCTGGTGGGAACCCAGGGTGAGTGCTGTTCCTGCATGGGTGTAAGGATTTGCCTTCTGGGTTCTCAGTGTGGAGTTTGCTTTTTACAAGGAGAATTGTCATGTGGTTTTTCCTGCTTTGATTCTGGAGTAAGTCGGTCAACAGCCTGGTAACAGTCCCTCTCTGCCTCTCCCCAACACCCCAGATGCATCTTTACAATACTGACTTCTGACACATAGTAGAGATTTCTTTTTGTCCTGTTTCCCAGTGTCACCTGTGATCAGCATCTCCTTCACAGTACAGGATCACTGGGGCACATTTCCTGTTTTCTTCCCTGTTGCTTAAAGGTGGCCTCTTTAAAAGTGGCTGTCACATGGGGTCAGATAGCACCTTTGTCCCTGGTCACAGGGTGCATTCTTATGAATCGACCATTTGAGGCTAGCCAAGTTGTCACATGCGACATTTATAATGATCAGATGAATTTAACTTTAAAACAAGAGAAATTGTATTACCCCTTCATGGGTGTTGGAACTAACAAATTTGGTACCCCCCCCCCCGCCTCCATGCCCAATGATTGATGGTTCCATTAAGAACTTCACCCCTGTGGAAGAACAGGATACTAAGCTATATGTGTAGTTTCTCCTGAAATGTAACCAGAGCTCTGCTGCTCACAGGGACTGTGTGTGGGAAGCCCGGCTCCTGCTGTGGAAGAAGGACTGACCTTCCTCAGCATGGGAGGTGTAAACTGACAGAGCTGCATTTCCATGCTGAACACCTTCTCCACTCTCTATTTTCACATGTAGTGACCAGGGGGTGGCTGGAGAAATGCAAAAGAAAACTCAGCCTGAGCCTGTAACCAGACTTCTTTGTGCCTGCAGTGCCCTCTGGTGGTTGCCATGTAGACAAATCCTTGGTGCTTCTGGAGTTCAGTAGGGCCTCTTGTCTTCATGGGGTCAAACAGCCGTGGTTAAGAACATTAAAGAAGGACGTGGTGGTGCCCACCTGTAATCCCGTCACTCGGGTTGACGAAGACGGATTGCCACCAGATCAAGGCCAGCATAGGCTACAATATAGTCTGTATATTTAGTTTCAACCGTAGCATTAAGACTCAAAACACTGAAAAACGTTTTATGTGTGTGATTGTTTATTACCCATGCCTAATACATAGACCTTTCTTTGTTATTACTCCGTAAACCCCACAGTGACAATCATGGCAACTCTGTACACAGCATCCACGCTGTCCCAGGTAGCATAGGTAACCTAGAGATGATTTGACGTGTACAGGCAGATGGCTCTGGTCCTGTATAGATATCACACCATCTCCTATAAGGGACTTTAGCATCTGTGGATTGGGCTACCCAAGGATGCCCTGAAACCTGCTCCCTGTGGGATGACGGCCGTAGCGTGTGTCACTGAAGTACTCTTCAGAATATTCTTAAAATGGCGTTTTTAAGTCTGCGCCTCTCTCAGCTTCGGTTGGTGGAGCGAGGGGAGAACAGCAAGAGCTCAGGCGCTGGCCCACACACCTTCACTGGAGCTACCTTGGCTGGGTGGCCCTGACCTCTGCCTCAGGGTTCTGGGAGGGTAAATTGAGGAATGGTGGGAGGCATGCAGCGGGTCAGTGGGCACAGGATATGCACTTGGCTGTGGTTGACTCTGTACCTCGTGTCTCAGTGTGGAGCCGGTTGTACCAAGGTCCTTCTTGGGCTGCTGGGGCTCAGTCCTTTGCTTCGTCCCTAGGGGAAGTCTGTCCTTCTCTTTGAGACCAAGAAGGCCATGTGTGAGAGCCTCTCTGGAGGAGAGCTGGGAGCTGCCCGCCTCCCGTGTGTTGGTTTATAAGGCTGTGCCCAGCTATGCCCAGACACGAATGCCTGACCTAGGGATCCCTCATCTGGGGTTCTCTGGGTCCTTAGCTGATGTTGGTGAGCAAAGGGCCCCAAGGGATCTGTGGGAGGAAGCTGGCCAGTGTGTGGCCTCCCCGTGGTCTGTGGTCCGTGCCTGTGCAATGTGTACACACTGGGCTGTTGTGGAGCCCTATGCTCTGGGGACACAGGAAATGAGGCTGATCAGGTGGTACAGAAACCTAAGGTTTTCTTTCTGCTGGCTACACTAGGTGGTGATAGAGATCAGAGGTTGTTGAGGTCTGAGAGAGAACTGAGGAGCTGTCCAGCACAGCAGGAGGCCAGTGCTGAGAGAGGCCGCTCGGTGCAGTATACTCTAGGGTGGGGATAGGGCTGAACATGTTCATGATGGGACACGGAACTAAGGGGCCCTTTACTGCACCAGGCCCCCTCTACCCAAAGACTCACAACGTAGACAGGGAGAAGCAGGGTCTTCGGAAAGCCAGAGGCCAGGCAGGATGGAGGCTCTCTGGCCTGTGCTTCCCAGATTTAGACAAAGGCTTTGAACCCATGGTTTCTAACTCTTACTATATTGTTTTCGATGTTGTAAAGGACCTCTTTCCTCATGTGTTGTAAACTATAAGTCAGACGTGTTCGCCCTCAGGACAGGAGGGGTAGAGGTGTTCTTTGAGCTCCAGCAACTTCATGGGGAGGTTGCTGTCCATAGGCACTCAGTCACCAAAATGTAGGTTTTGGCCTTGGTGTTTTAAGACCCACAGAAAAGCAAGCCTAAGTCTTACCAGTCTCTCCAGGTTGTCCTTTAACTCAGTCCTCCTACCTCGGCCTCCCAAGTACTGGTACAGGTGTAGTTCTCCACTGTTTGGCAGGATGAGCCTGTTATTTTAGGGCAAACTATTTTAAAACTGCAGATTGCGGCCCTCCTGGTCGTAGTGCGGCTTTGGGTTGTGGCTACTGGATTGGCGGCAGTGCTTGACGGGAGTGCGGTTCTAGTTCAGTGCTCCAGGGTTGCAGGCAGCAGTTGCTGAGGAAGCCCTGTTGCTTTCTTTTGCAGATGCCATAAGTTCCACCAACCCAAGGGTCATTGACGACGCCAGGGCGAGGAAGCTCTCTAATGACCTGAAGAGGTGCACGTACTACGAGACATGTGCCACCTACGGGCTCAACGTGGAGCGGGTCTTCCAGGACGGTAAATGCTGAAGCGCTGTGGCCTCACAGCTCTGACACCTGGGCACCACAGGAAAGAGTCACACAGGCTGGAGGGGACAGAGCCAAGCATGCAGACTAGGCGTCAGCGTAGGGCTGCGAGGCGGCTCTCAGGTGTGTGTTCAGAAGAGGAGGAGACACTAGAACAGTCCAGAATGGCATTGTACATCACACTGTGCAGGTGAAGAGCTCTCCCGAAGCTCCATGGACACTACTGTGTGCTAATTCTTGGTTTGTGATGCTCATTCTTAGAAAGGGGTTAAGTATTCGACATTTGACATTCAGTTAAAGTAAGCTAAAAGGAAAGAGTCAAATTTGAACCCTTAAAGCTGCACATTAGAACTTAGGACTGCAAGTGAGGGCTAGCCCCGACGAGTAGCTTAAGTAGAAATCAGAGGGGAGTTCACCTCCAGGAACTTCAGGCTCTGCCAAGGGGTATACCTTCCTGTTAGTGACGATCATGAGAGGAGACAGGAGGGAGGGGTGGCTTTGGGGTCTAGAGGGTCTGGGGCAGCAGTCCTTTTAGAGTTGGGGGTCTCAGGAAGAGGAAGGTTCTGGTGAGTACCCAATCCTGGAGGCAGTTGGGGGAAGTCAGTCTGAAGCCCCTTTGGTCTAAATCCACAGGTGGAAGACCCACCTCTGTCCCTCTGTTCCACTGTCGGGAATTGCCAGGGAGCAGAGTGAGACAGGCAGCCTGGGTCCTTACAGAATTGCAGAGGTCAAAGGCCTTGCCTTGCAGTGACCTGAAGAAAACATGCTTTGTGCAGTGCAGTCAGTGATTGAGGGCTGGGGGTGTGGGTGAGTCAGTAGAGTGTCTGCGTAGTGTGCATGACACCTTAGGTTTGATCCCCAACACTACATACACTTGATGTGGTGTTCCAAATCTATGAGCCCAGCGCTTGGGCAACAGCAGCCAAGGAGGGTCAGGATTCTAGCTGCATAGTAAGTTTGAGGCCAGCCTGGGTGACATGAGAGCCAGTCTAAAACAAAACAAAAATAGTCGTCTTGGGACTGTGCCTCACCTGCCCAAGTGAGTAAGAAGTCTGGGCTTTCCTGGCCTCTGGGCCTCTGGGATGGGTGGTTCCTCACATGGGTGACCAGAGCATGCCCATGTACATAGGTCTGTTCTCTGCAGCTGCTCTGCTTCTTGATTTCTTCTAGTGAGCAGACATGAGTTTCCCATAATGGTGGGAACCAGTCCTACACAAATGATCTTATAAATCAATACTGGGTGGCATCAAGATCGTGATCCTAGCACGCAAACCTCAGGGAAATGTTTTGGTCCATTCTGGCTACTGCAGTAGACCCCATAAACAGGTTTAAACAGTGGACAACTATTCCTCACTGTTCTTGAGACTGGATGTCTAAGATCAAGGGGAGGTCCTGCTGCCTTGTCTGCAGAGAGCAGAGACGGGAAATAGGTTCCCCCCGTTTCTTCCTATTGGACATTGATCCATCCTCATGACTTCACTCCCCCCGCCACCCTGGCTTCACCCACAACATGAAGGCCAGAAGTAATAGGAATTCAAGGCATGAATTTGAGCAACAGAAATACCGAGTCTCCAGCAGTAGAAGGCCGCGGCCAGGCTGTCTTAGGAGGATTCGGTGTCTTCTCCAGGTGGGATGCTGCCAAGGGAGTGATCCTTATCCACCCGCATGCCAGGGCTGTAGAGTACTAAAGGAACACTTGGTGGACCCACCCTTGTCCTGACAGTGGGGCTCACCTTGTGTCTTAGGGCAACTTTCAGGGCTCGAGACGTCTGCATTTTATTTCTGGTTTTAAGATGAGCACATTAAGTGATTTGACTTTAGAGTCTCAAAAGGAAATAGTGTTCCTGTGCCAGAACATTCAGCCACCCTGGGATTGGGGGGCATTCATGGAAACATTTTCATTGGGGCTTTTAATCCCAGCACTGGGGAGGTGGAAGCAGGCAGATCTCTGTGAGTTCAAGGCCACCCTGGTCTACATAGTGAGTTCCAGGCCAGCCAGGCCTACATAGTGAGACCTTGTATTAAAAAAAAAGTTTTCATTTCTGTGAAGAGAATTTTTTTTTACTTCCTCACTTTTTATTGGTTCGAGAATTTCACACAGTGTCCTTTGACAGCACTCACCCACACTCCCAAACCCTCCCAGATCCAGTCCCCTTCCATACCCATCCAACCATGTGTACTTTAAAAGTAAATCTGTCCAGTCCAGTTTGTGCTGCCCTATACTCCGGAGTGTGGCTCCATGCCGGGATTTTGTCTTGTGTGCACTGTCATAACCACTGTGAGTTCACACTGGCAACTTGTGTGTTGTGTTCTGAAAACAGTGTTTCTTTGTGTTCATCCACCACATGAGACTTCTACACTCTTCTGCCTTCCACAATAATCTGAGCTAGGGTGGAGGGCTGTGATACACATGTCCCCCTTAGCACTAAGAATTTAGCAGTCACATGTTTTCTGTATGTTGGCTAGTTGTGGGTCTCTGTGTTAATCAGCATCTACTGCAAAAAGAAGCTTCTTGGCTTAGAGAGATGAACTAATCTGTGAGTAGAGAGATAAGTCATTAGAAGGCAGTTAAGTACCGTGTCCATTTAGCAGAATAGCAGTAGGTTATTCTCTGGGGCCTGTGACCTGTATAGCTGAAAACATGGAGCGCAGGGAGGTGGGGGAGAGGGGATTTGCCAAGGTAAGTCTGGGAAAGCTCCGAATCTGGAGGTCCTCAGTGGTCTTAACAGATCAGAGATGGCGGGCACAGGAGGTGTGGGAAAGGGAGTGCATCGAGGCAGGGCTGGGCAAGCCCCATCCGGTTGTGTTCATGGTTTACGTGTACTGAACCATCCCTGCGTCTCTGGAATCAAGTCTACTTAATCGTGGTAGATTTTCTTTTTGATGTGTTCTTTTATTTGCTTTGCAAGTATTTCATTGAGGGTTTTTTTGTTTTTTTTGTTTTTTTTTTTTTTTTTTTTTTTTGGCGCATCCCTGTTCATCAGCGATCGGCCTATAATTTTCTTTTTTGGGGGGGGCGGGGTGTCTGTCTGGCTTCAGTATCAGGGTAATACTGGCTTCATAACAAGAATTCGGAAACCTTCCTACATTGTGTATTTCATGGAATAGTTTGGGAAGTATTGACAATTCTTAGGAGAATTTTTCAAGGTAAAATTGAGGTATATGTATATATATACATATATGGATGGTACTTACATGGTATGTTTCTTTTTCTTAAATGCAATGTGAACTCCTTTTGTTAAGATGTAAGTAGCTGCTGAGTTGATTGATTTTAGTACTCAGCTGTTCTCAACAATGACAGCCCACTTTGAAAACAAAAAACCAAACAACCTTTGTATAGTTTTTGAAGTTGTAGAAGTTGAGGTGTTGGGCATGGTGGTGCAGGCCTGTAATCTCTGCACTTGAAAGGAGGATCATGAGTTTGGGGCCAGCCTGAGCTACATGGCAAGATCGTGTTTCAAAAGGAGAAAGAAAGTGAGGACTGTAGATGTGACTGAGGATAGACTAGAGCACTTGATTAGCAAGTGCGAGGCCCTGGGCCTGGTCCAGTTCTAGGAAGGACGTGGACATGCCGCATGAAGATGAGGCTCAGGAAAGGACCTGGCGGGAGGCGCAGAGCCTGGAGTGCATCTGCTGTTTTTGGACCGCTGAGCCTTGAGCCTTATCTAGACCCTGGGCTGTTTTGTCCCTACAGCCACAGCAACTCAGGCCCTCGTGCTTTACAGGGTGTTGCCCTGGGCACACCGTGGGGCAGGCTGAGCAGCGTGTCTGCAGCGCCCTACTACCTCGTTCCAGCATAACTGGGTTTCTCTTTATCCTCTGAACTTAGCTTTGTACTTACTTTCTCTCTCTCTCTCTCTCTCTCTCTCTCTCTCTCTCTCTGTGTGTGTGTGCGCACGCGCGTGTGCACGTGTGTGTATGTATGTATATGAAACTGAAACTTGCTCTGTATACCAGGCTGGCCTCAAATTCACAGAGATCCACTTGTCTCTGCCTCCTGAGTGCTAGGATTAAAGGTGTGTGCCACCATGCCTGGCTTTTTTTTTTTTTTTAAATATTATAGAAGGATAAAATTGCTATGTGGTACATGGTTTATAAATAACCACCTAGTGCTCCCCTCCCCCACTAGAGCCCACATGCCTCACTAGCTGGCTACCCAATGTTAATTTTTCAGAGAATTCTTGCTGCTTGTATTTGGCTTCCGGTGTCCTGAAACAGAAGGCAGATTGTAACACGAAGCAGGAGGCCAATTGTAACATGGTTTGCCTTTGAGCTTGTGGCCAAAGGGTCTGTGACTGTGCGGCGCTGTGGAGCAATCTGTCACAGTCTACAGAGGTGTGAGCCTAGCTGTCTTCACTGGGCGAGCCTGGCTGGAGACAGGGAGAACCTGGCATGAAGAGGGTTCCATCCATTAGGAAGTTTGGGTCCCCTAGGGAGAGCTGTGGCCTCACAGAAATGCAAGCTGCACCTTAACAGGTGAGTGGGATGTTCTCTCCCTTCCTTCTGGCACCGTGCCGCTCATGTACGCTGTTGAGTTTGTGAGCCTGGTGTGGTGGGACGGTCTGGTGTGGTGGACAGTCTGGTGTAATGGATGGTCTGGTGTGGTGGATGGTCTGGTGTGCTGGGACGGTCTGGTGTGGTGGATGGTCTGGTGTGCTGGGACGGTCTGGTGTGGTTGACGGTCTGGTGTGCTGGGATGGTCTGGTGTGGTGGACGGTCTGGTGTGGTGGGACGGTCTGGTGTGGTGGATGGTCGGGTGTGCTGGGACGGTCTGGTGTGCTGGACGGACTGGTGTAGTGGACGTTCTGCTGTGCTGGGACGGTCTGGTGTGCTGGACGGACTGGTGTAGTGGACGTTCTGCTGTGCTGGGACGGTCTGGTGTGCTGGACGGACTGGTGTAGTGGACGTTCTGCTGTGCTGGGACGGTCTGGTGTGCTGGACGGACTGGTGTAGTGGACGTTCTGCTGTGCTGGGACGGTCTGGTGTGCTGGA